CTTTTTATGATGTGCTGCTTGGGTAGGAGGGGAATTATCCAAAGCAATTCCACCTTCATGTTTATAAAAATCTTAAACAGCTTTTCTATATTGGGTTGGTTGGTACTTCATTGTCCTTCTGAGAGGTTGTCTGAAGGCATGATTATTACACCTGAAATGTTCTGTTTTGGAGTGTTTCCAGTTCTATGAAATGTTCATTCCAGTCAGTAAAGATTGGTGCACACTAGATAAGGGTTGTATGCTCACCAGTGGGACTTCCAGTCTACACTGCAGTTGTTAATTGCATCATTTGCATTCAAGCTTAAAAAGATGTAACAATCAGGAACTAAGGTAGCAAGACAAAAGGTCTTCATGTTTGAAGAGATGAAGTAATTAAAGGTATAGTGGATGTTCATTTTCCAGGTGAAGCATGTATATAATTGGTCCTCCCTTTTAATTGTCAATCATTGTGGTGAAATGTTTACGTAAGGCCGTCCTTTGTGCTCGTCCCCATTTTTACTTACTGGTGGTGAGTCTGACATATTGGAAAAATTGCAAATCTTGTTTTGTATGAGCAATGCAAACACCTTAAACAGAGCGTACTTGAGGAGAAATGGGCTTGTGCATGCTCTCGCATTTGTTTATATATATGTTCCCTCTTGGTAGCAGGGTTATGCAAGTGCATTTTTTTTTTTTTTAAGTGGAGAGGGCAGGTCTTTTCTAAAATACCTTTAACTATTTTGGAAACGGATTTGTTTGTGCAAATTAAATGTTTCTGATTTTTCAAAGAACTATTTTAGGTTAAACACATTTAAATGTAAACACAATTATAATCCACTCAAATTCTGAAGTTTATGTGAATCTCTTAATGAGATTGATGAATCCAAACTGATTATAACAGTTTCGGTACTGCAAGACAGGATAAACATTTTTCACTTTTATATGTTTAGAAAAATGTTTTACTGAAAAATATTGTCAAATCTGCAATTTAGTATCACCATTTTAAATAATTAATTATCTTAGGA